GGGTTTAGGGTTTAGGGTTTAGGGTTTAGGGTTTAGCGTTTAGGGTTTAGGGTTTAGGGTTTAGGGTTTAGGGTTTAGGGTTTAGGGTTTAGGGTTTAGGGTTTAGGGTTTAGGGTTTAGGGTTTAGGGTGTAGGGTTTAGGGTTTAGGGTTTAGGGTTTAGGGTTGGGGGTTGGGGGTTGGGGGTTGGAGGTTGGGGGTATTGTTTTCTTTTTTGGTGTGGTTTTTCGGGTTTTCTTAGGGAGTTTAGGGTTTAGGGCTTATAGGGCTTATAGGGTTTATAGGGTTTAGGGTTGGACGGGGTTTTAGGGAGTTTAGGATGTTTGGGGCTTCGGGTTCCCAGGACGGGCTTACAGTTTCGAGGTTTATGGCCCCAGGAGACCTGACGCATCAGGGTCCTAGCTGTAATTCTATTGGTTCTTCGTGGGGTGTTCGGTGTTCTCTGTGTGTCTCTGTTTGTCCCTGTGTGTCTGTCTGTGCCTCTCTGTCTCTGTGTGGGGTGTGTGTGTGTGTGTGCGTTTGCATCGGTGTCTGCGTCCGTGTCTCTGTCTCTGTCTCTGTCTCTGTCTCTGTCTCTGTCTCTGTCACTCTCACTCTCACTCTCTCTCTCTCTCTCTCTCTGTCTCTCTCTCTCTCTCTTTTGGCAGGGTTTTGGTTTTGCTGTGTTCTTTGGTAACCCAATTAAGGGCCCATAGTTGGAACCCTAGACTAAACCCCCACATGTATCCCTAAACCCTCTAAAGGACACTCCGGCGCTTAGCATGCAAAAGTGCCAATAAAGGGCCCTTACCCGGCTAGCGCTGAAGCTGTAATTTCACTCAAACCGGAGGGTCGTGGTGTAGACCAGACGTCGGTATTGGAGGTGCCAATCGATCACTACCGAATCTGGAGCCTACAACTATCACATGATCACCATGGGTCCTTTATTGATTTACCAAATAATATTCATGTGTGAAAAAGGTTATGACATCCTAAACCCAAAGCCCTAAACCCCTAAACCCTACAATATGACTGTGACATGATCTATGAGCTGCACATGTTGTTGATGATGGGTCGGAGCAACCATGTCCCTCACGATTGAGGTGGGCCTGCTAAGTGGCAGGACGGTTTCACTTGAAGCAGCACCGGGCGAGTCCGTAGAGGCATTGAAGAGCAGAGCACAGAAGACTCTGGCAGTTGGCAGGGGGCGACTCTTAAAATCCTCTGGGAGCGTTCTGGACGAAGCAGCCACGCTCGAGGAATCGAGGTTGGAAGGTGGCGAGGTGCTCACTTTGCAGCTGAGCAGCACTTGCGGTTGCAGCACGGGATGTGCTTTTGCCGTCACTCTGGGCAACGGGTCTGTCGTAACCTGGGGCGATTCTTCGAGAGGTGGTGACAGCAGTCCTGTTCAAAGGCAGCTTAAGGACGCGCAGCAGATCCAAGCAACTGAGTATGCTTTCGCTGCCATTCTTGGTGATGGATCTGTTGTGACCTGGGGCGTTCCTGACAGCGGCGGCGACAGCAGTGATGTCCAAGGTATGCTGAAGGATGTGCGTGAGATCCAAGCTACTCGAAGGGCTTTTGCCGCTATTCTGGGCGATGGGTCTGTTGTGTCCTGGGGGCATCCTTCCTGTGGTGGGGATCCTCGAAGTCTGGATCATCTGCTGAAGGACGTGCAACAGATCCAAGCTACCAGTAACGCATTTGCTGCTATTCTGGGAGATGGGTCTGTTGTGACTTGGGGCGATGCCGTCCGTGGTGCTAACAGCAGGGATGTGCAAGGTCAACTGAAGGACGTGCAGCAGATCCAAGCTACCCGCGAGGCTTTCGCCGCCATTCTGAGCGATGGGTCTGTGGTGACCTGGGGCCGTGTTTTTCATGGCGGCGACAGCAAGGCTGTGCAAGATCAGCTTCAGGACGTGCAGCAGATTCAAGCCTCAGGTTATGCTTTCGCTGCAATTCTGCGCGATGGATCTGTTGTGACCTGGGGATATGCTGCCTATGGTGGCGACAGCAGCTCTGTGCAAGGTCAGCTGCAGGATGTGCAGCAGATCCAAGCTACCCTTCAGGCTTTTGCCGCCATTCTGGGCGATGGGTCTGTGGTGACCTGGGGCCTTGCTGATTGTGGTGGCGATAGCAGGGATGTGCAAGCTCAGCTCAGAGACGTGAGGCAGATCCAAGCATCTGAGTGCGCTTTTGCTGCCATTCTGGGTGATGGTTCTGTTGTGACATGGGGCATACCTACCTCTGGCGGCAAAAGCAGTGCCGTGCAACATAAGCTAAAGGATGTGCAGCAGATCCAAGCTACCCGCCAGGCTTTTGCCGCCATTCTGAGCGACGGGTCTGTGGTGACCTGGGGCTTTGCTCCCTTTGGTGGCGACAGCAGTGATGTACAAGACCAGCTGAAGGACGTGCAGCAGATTTTTGCATCCCAGCAGGCTTTTGCTGCCATTCTGGGTGATGGGTCTGTGGTGACCTGGGGCCTTGCTGATTGCGGTGGCGACAGCCGTGCTGTGCGAACTCATCTTGTGAACGCGTAGAGGTACGGCGCAGCACTCGGCACAAACGGGTGGGCGATCTCCTTCTTATTTGTTTTCTCTTCTCTGGCTCTCTCTCTCTCTCTCCATCCGTCTCTCGCTCGCCCGCTAAAACCAAACCTAAACCCTTAAAATCATTGAGTTTTCCAAGCCCCCCAAGTGGCCTAAATGAGGTAGTAGGGAAGATTTGTTGTAGGGCAGGCACATGGGCCCCTTGCGGTTTAGGGTTTTGGCCTAGATATATACCCCATACCCTATGAACCCAAGGCCCATACTTCAGTCAAGGCATGGGGGCGATATTAAGGGATCAGGTACAAGTAGCTCCTAAACCCTATAGACCCTAAAATCTCAACCCAGTAAAATTGCCCCGAACCCTAAAACCCCTATTAGGGTTTGGGGGCACCATAGCCCTAAACCCTAGACCCTGAGACAGCGTCGAGTAAACCCTAAACCCTAATCCCTAAACCCTAAACCCTTGGGTCTGGGGGGGGGGGGGGGGGGAGGTTCTGGGACCTCTATGAACTTCTGCTTCCAGGCTGCCGTCTCCTTGCGTGCGGCAGAGGCTCTCTTGACAGGGTGGGTTTAGGGTTTGGGGTTTAGGGTTTAGGGTTTGGGGTTTAGGGTTTGGGGTTTAGGGGATTTCAGCGGGGTTTAGGGTTTAGAGCTTAAGGTCCTCGCCTCTGCTTTCCCTGCACCAAGCAGTAGCCTCATTCTCTCCGTTATAGGGTTTACGTCCAACGGTTTAGGGGTTCCGATCATCTATAGACCACGAGGCTACATGGTTCTTTAGTTCTTTCTTTCTACCCAAACAACCTTATGTAACCGACTGGAATGTCTCCCCAAATGGGCGTGCCTCTTTACACCTTCAAGTCGCTCAAATTCTACGGGCCCTAGCTCCTGTATAAACCCTGGGCCCTAAATTGTGAACCCTAAGCCCTAACAAACAACGAATGACAAAGAAACAAGCATCCAGCATCCAACACGAAACAAACACTTAATCACTTCGAACATCCCCACCCTGCAAGTAAGGAGTTTGAAAGCTCATGTGGGTAGAGATTCTCTCGCTACTCTTCTCGGAGGTTCATGGTACTTGTTTCCCAATTCTAGCTGTACTTATAACCCACTTGCAAGCCCCTAAAGTGCTCCAATATGGCTATGAGTATTGTGCTTTTGTGCCGCCCTCAGAAGTAGGGTCGGGCTCTGCAGTTCAACGTATATATATATATATATATATATGGGTTGGTGGTCTCTTTAAGTAGGGTTTCCGTTTTTTCTGTTTGATAGGGGCTTATGTTGGGGTCTGATTAGGGTATCTAGGGGCTATGTTAAGGGAAAAATGTAACAGATAAAGAGGCCACCGGCCTTTATAAGTTATAAGTGGTGAATAAGTACCATGAACCTCCAAGTGGGGTTGGCCGCTTCAGTGACTCTCAGAGGATACTCTGGTGTTGGGCACTCCAGGAATTCTGTGTAGGGTCTAGGGCCAGGGTTTAGGGTCTAGGGTCTAGGGTCTAGGGTTTCGGGTTTCGGGTTTAGGGTTTAGGGTTTAAGGCACTCCAAGGACTCTCTGGGCATACTCTGGTTGGGCACCGCAAGGTCTCCCTGATGATCTGGGGTTGGGCTCCAGGGACTCTCTGATACTTGGGTTTAGGGTTTAGGGTTTAGGGGTTGGGCGCTCCAGGGACTGGTACTTGGGGTTGGGCATTCCAACAACGAAATACTCTCAATTTGGGCTCTCCATAAATGTCTGGTGATACTCTGGGGTTGGGCAGAGACTCTCTACTCCGGGGCGAGGAGTAGACCGGGCGAGGAGAAGAGTTTAGTGCAAAATCGAACAGCGCCACTGTGGAGGGAAGAAAAAGGTTTAGGGTTTACGGTATAGGGCTTTTCTTGCAATCCTTGGAGGCTAGCTCGAAGGCCCTAAGGACTTTTATTTTGCACTCTCCTTGAATATGGTCCCCATGTGTCCCCTATATACCTAAGTAGCCCCAATGCAGCCCCACATTAAACACGGTTTCTGGGCTGGCCGGCTACACTTAAACTTTGGGATGTTCCCCCTTAAACTCACAGTCAGCCCTTAATTCGGATTATAGTGCCCGGTTCGTATAGTCCCCATTATGGACTCTTGGTATAAGGGGGAACATCCCAAGTTAAAACTCTGAAGCCCTGAGCCCTGAGTGAACCAGGGTTTAGGGTTTAGGGTTTAGAGTTTAGGGTTTAGGGTTTAGGCGAATTGACCAAGGCTGCACCGGAACACGAGATTTCGGGCTTCGCGCTCGTCTTCGTTCCCCAGGCTGGGCCTTTTTCCTTATAAATAAATATATAAATATAAATGTAAGTATATATATCTATCTATCTATCTATCTATCGATCTATCTATCTATACGTACATACACAGACCCTCAACCTGAATCCTAAACCCTAGGCCCCAGTTCTTTGTCAAAAAAAAGCGCACAGCCTCGATTGTTCCCTGCAGAGTGGCTCCATGAGGGGTCAGCTAGGCGGGTGAAAAAAAAAGAGCTAAACCCCTAAACCCCTAAACCCGAAACCCTAAACCCTAAACCCTAAACCCCTAACCCCCAAACCCCCAAACCCCTAAACCACTTAAACCCCTTAAACCCCTTAAAAAGCCCCTAAACACCATAACCCCTAAACCCCAAATCCCCATAACCCCTAAACCCCTAAACCCCTAAACCCCTAAACCCCTAAACCCCTAAACCCCTAAACCCCTAAACCCCTAAACCCCTAAACCTAAACCCCTAAACCCCTAAACCCCTAAACCCCTAAACCCCTAAACCCCTAAACCCCTAAACCCCTAAACCCCTAAACCCCTAAACCCTTAAACCCTAAACCCTTAACTTACCCCTAAACCCCATAACCCCTAAACCCCAAACCCTAAACCCTAAACCCCTAAACCCTAACCCCCCAAAACCCCTAAACGCCTAACCCCTAAACCCTAAACCCCAAACCCAATTCTAAACCCTTAAACCCCTAAACCCCCAAACCCCCAAACCCCCAAACCCCTAAACCCTAACCCCTAAACCCTAAACCCCTAAACCCTAAACCCTAAACCCTAAACCCTAAACCCTAACCCTAAACCCTAAACCCTAAACCCTAAACCCTTACCAATGAACCTCCAAGTAGGCCATGGCGACCAGCTTGGAGCCAATGGCCCGAGTCTTGGAGGCGGCCATAGGCGGGGCAGATCTGCTCGATTTGTGTTTCGGGGTTTAGGGTTTAGGGTTTAGGGTTTAGGGTTTAGGGTTTAGGGTTTAGGGTTAGAGCCTGATTGGTGTTTTTTAGTGTTTAAGGTTCCCTTATAAACACCTCTAAACCCAAAAGGGTACTTTTTCCTGGGTTACTCTTGGTTCTAGATCTGCTCAAATTGTGGTTCGGAGTGTTGGATTTGTGGAAGGGAGGTTAGGCGCCTAAACCCTAAACCCTAAACCCTAAACTAGATCTTGTGTTTGCAAGTACTGTGGGTGGATTGGTGCGTCTGGGTTGGGAGTCTTGAGGTTTCGGGTTCTTTTTTCGGGATTAAAAAATGTCGGGCCTAATTTCTGGGCATTTCCCAATTCAGAGGGTCTACCCCTGATCCAATTCCGTCATGGCACAACATCCTGTCATCAGCCCCTAAGATAGGCACCAAGGAGGGTGTAAGTGCGGGGGGCATCAGCGAAAGTCTCTGACAGGGGGTGCGCACTGATCTCTTTGAAAGTCAGTGTCGTTGCAGGGTTTCACTAGGGCAGGCCTAGGTCCCAAAACCCCCTAAATCCTTCGAACGCAACTGCGGCCTGGGATGACAGATGTTCCGTAGGACAGAAGTCAATCCTTTTCAAAAAGCGCTTGTGCTCCATGTAGGGCACAGGGATTCGAGTAGTCCCATGTCTAGTGTTCCTTTCGTGGCCAGGCTAGGTTTGAGAATGACGTTTCACGTTGTTAGTAGATCTACCTTGGGATGTTCCCCCTTCTATTAACAGTCCTTCATAGGGATTATAGCACCCCCCCCCCCCCTTATTGTAATCCCCATGAAGGACTGCTAGTATAAGGGGCAACATCCAAAGATGTACCCATCTTCCTGCTAGGATGCCCAGTAGTACCCTTATTCCCTTTTTGGGGGGTTTAGGTTCCCTTAGAAACCCTTTAAGCGAAAAAGGGCACCCTTTTTAAGCCTAGGGTACTGGGCAGCCTAGCCTGCCTCCATCTTGCGTGGAGGTTGGCCTGCGTCCTTGCCGTTTCTGGCGGTGCCAACACAGGTGGCCAGCTCTTGAAGCTCTCTCTACCCAAGCAATGAAGCCCCCCTTGGGAGATGGCGTTTTGGACAGGCCCAGGAAACCTCACATCTCTCGAAATGCACTTCGACATCTGGGAGGGAGACAGAGGGGACTTAGAGGGGACAGAGGGGAGAGAGAGAGAGGGGGGAGAGAGAGAGGGGGGAGAGGGAGAGGGGAAAGAGAGAGAGAGAGAGAGAGGGGAGAGGGAGAGATGGGAGAGAGGACAGAGTCACGTTACCCTAAACCCTAAACCCTAAACCCTAAACCCTAGAGTCACGTTGCTGAGGGGGCGACCTTGATCCTCCTCACCGCGCAGCTGCCCAAAGAGACCGGGCCGGCTCCCAAGGCCGGGTCCTTGCGAATCGGGATTTAGAGAGAGAGGGTTAGGGTTTAGGGTTTAGGGTTTAGGGTTTAGGGTTTAGAGGGTTTAGAGGGTTTAGAGGGTTTAGAGGGTTTAGAGGGTTTAGAGGGTTTATAGGGTTTATAGGGTTTATAGGGTTTATAGGGTTTATAGGGTTTATAGGGTTTATAGGGTTTATAGGGGATGTTTAGGGTTTAGAGGGTTCACATGAGTTCCAAGTTCCACTCAGAGGTTTCTTGGCCTAGGGCTTTGTGAGGGCGCAGCTGAGAGAGCCCAAACCCCCATCCCCTAAACACTTATAGCCCCGATTCTAAATGTACTCAAAAAAACCCTAACTCCTCAAAGTAGGTTATAAGTACTTATTATTCCTAAACCCTAAACCCTAAACCCTAAACCCTAAACCCTAAACCCTAAACCCTAAACCCTAAACCCTAAACCCTAAACCCTAAACCCTAAACCGAACACCCGGGTCCAGGCCTTCTTCCTGGGGCCGCGCGAGTTCGAAGAGGCCGGGGCTGAAGGCGCGGCCAAAGAACAAAAAACGCGGCAAGTTTCCAGACTTCGGGGTTTTCAGGGGCTTGTTGGGGTTTAGGGTTTAGGGTTTAGGGTTTGGGGTTTAGGGTTTAGGGTTTAGGGTAGACCTCAAACCACGCATGAAGATAGGGGGGTTTGGGGTTCTGTTTTTTTTGCGGGCCTGCTCGTTTTCGGAAATTTGTTGGAATTTTGGGTTGTCGTTGTTAAGAGAGCCCTAGACCTAAACCCCCCCTCTTGGAGGTTTAGGGTGTTGCTTTTTGTGGTGCTTTGGGGCGGCTTTGGGTTTTTTCGATTTTTTTTTTTTTTGGGGGGGGGGGGGTTTATAGCTGTCTAGGCTTTGGGGTTTAGGATTTAGGTTGGTTGGTTTAGGGTTTACTTTTTTTTGTTAGGTTTTTGAGTTTTTGGGTTTTGGGCCCTTTGAAGGTCTTTGAAGCCAAGGCTTTGCTTGGATCGTGTGCCGGGTCTTGGAGTCTTTGGAGTGTTGGGGGCTCCGATTTAGGGTTTAGAGGGCTTAGAGGGCTTTGAAGGTTTGGAAGGTTTGGAAGGTTTAGACCTTTAGAACTTCAGGGATATGTAGGTTTTGGCGCTGTTCTGTGCGTGCTCTTCTCGTGCGCTGCATTCTTGCCATCCCCGCTGGTCGGATCGTCTTGAACACGTGCACCCCTGTTGTCGGAAACTTACATGGAACCCTGCAAAACCTAAACCAGGATAAGCCCAAGCCTATTGTATGTTCAGGCTACCGATTGCAGGAACAGCTGGACGTGGGTCACTTGCTGCACACGTCTACTTTGGGTTTAGGGTTTGGGGTTTAGGGCTTAGGGTTTGGGGTTTTGGGTTTAGGGTTTTGGGTATTGGGTTTTGGAGGGTTTGGAGCTCAGCTAACAGGGGGGCTCGCTTAGGGCTCGTGGTATCAAAGGGGCTTCTAAACCTGAAAGTTGGGCTCTCAGAGTAGATGGGTGCAGGAAGTCGAGCTGTATATGGGCATTTGTTAACATAGGCCCGTTTTTGAAGGACCCTCGAAATAGCTACCCTAAACCCTAAACCCTAAACCCTAAACCCTAATTTCGGAGACCCTCATATGTGAGCATCTCACCCGCTTCTTGGCCATGGGCTGGCATTGACAAGCCAAGCCAGAAAGCTAGAGGCATCCCTCTCGTCCGTCTTTGCGGTTTAGGGTTAAGGGTTTAGGGTTAAGGGTTAAGGGTTCCAGACAGGTGTGCAAGTGTCATGCCTGTTGCCCAGCTGATAGTGCAGAGCCTGGGTTCAAAAAGAGTTTGGGGTTTAGGATGCAGGGCTTAGGGTCAGGTACCGGCATGGCTCTCAGACCGGGCTCAGAAGGGTTTAGGGTCACATCACACTACCGGTGCGCACTCGGTACCCTGAAACCCGAAACCCTAAGCCCTAAACCCTGTTTGCGTGACGCACGGCCTTTTTTCTTTCCAATGCTTGGGACTCGGGCTGCGAACTCTGAATGCCGCTGATTTTGACTCCTCTCTAAGTACGCAGGGCTTATAGGGTTCAGGAGTTATGGGCCCAGATGTCGTAAACCCTGTCCGAAGCCGTCCTAAACCGTAACCCGTAAACCCTAATCCCAGCTTAGCTATAGGACTTTCGGCATCACAGCCCAGGTAACAAGTACTACACCAAGTACTGGCAAGAGAATGGCCGGACAAACGGGACGGTTGTCACTTCACCCCCGCATCGAAGGAGTTCAGGGCTTTGGGTTCGGGACTTACCCGAAGAACCAATACTTCTTAAATCAGGAATATATGCCTGGAATAATATTCAGGATCCCTCTGTATTTTAAGGTAAGTTCCTTACTTAAGGGGTGTTGGGCTCTCTGGGTAGTTGGTCAACCGGTCGAAGCAGGCAGTTATGTGGAGTCCTGGTGCAGGTAGTGTTAAGGGTTTGGTGGTTGAGGATTCCAGCTCAGAGTGGAGCGTTGTATGTTTTTTGTGATGGCATGCTGTATTTAGGTTGGCTGCTGTTTTCTTTACTTGGGTTTATAAGGGACCCTCTAGAAACATGCTTTTCAAAGGGTTTTAGGGCTAACCCAGGTATGAATCGTACTCAGAAGCCAGAGCTTCAAGATTTGAGGGCGCATGGTCAATGTTTGCCCCGAAGCTGGAAAGCTGCATTCGGGCTTGCTCATCCGGGTCTTAGGGGGTTTAGGGTCTAGGGTTCATGTTTCAGCTGATGCTCAGAGCCTGGGTTCAAAAAAGGGTTCATGTTTCATCCGTGCCTGAAGTTGTCCTCTTTATCCCAGAGAGGCGGACAGCACAAGCCCTGTAAACCCGAAGCGACCCACAACTGCGAAATGCAAAGCCCTAAGCCCCAAAGTGGAGTGGACAAGAAGTCCAAACTCTAAACCCTAACAGTAGAACCCCTTCAGAATGGAAGGTAGCTTTGGATCCGGGTCAGTACCCCAGAAGCGGCGTAGGCCTTGCGTAATTCTAAGAGGGTTTAGCAGACTCTAATATATACCCTCAAGCCAAAACTTTGACTCGAGCACGTCGTCGCGATGCAGATGACTGAGTCCGACGACACACCTAAATTCCAAAGCCCCTAAACCCGAAACCCTAAACCCTAAACTCAGGCCCCTGACTCCCTGCAGCCCGAATGAGCCTTGCACCACTCTGTAGTTGGAGGTTCGTGGTACTTATTAACCAATTATAACTGTACTTTTAACTGTACTTATAACCTTTTTAGGGCACGCAAGGGGCTTATAAGTGGGCTATAAGTACAGTTAGAATTATTATTTAATAAGAACCCCCAAGTAAGGTTGCCTGTCGACAGATGCACGAGCGCGGTCCACACGATGTGGGCAGCTTGCGACTCGCTCTCGCCATGTGCGGCTTAGGGTGTAGGCTTTAGGTTTTACCCTAAACCCTAAACCCTGATTCTTCGAGATGACGACACTCCCTCAGAGAGCTTCGAACCCGAAACCCACCCCCCGCCCCAAACCCTAAACCCCAAACCCCAAACCCCAAACCCTAAACCCCAAACCCTAAACCCCAAACCCTAAACCCTAAACCCTAAACCCTATTCGCTCTTTGGAGATGGTGCTGCAGAAACCCTAAACCTCAAGAAACACACACAAACAAAAAGAGACTGATTTTCTGGACCTCGCCCGGCCCAGCCATGAAAAAATCCCGAAGCCTTAAACCGAAGCCGCCGTGCGTCAGGCTTGGGATGGATAGTCTAGAATAGGGTTTAGGGTTTAGGGTTAGGGTTTAGGGTTTAGGGTCCTGATTTGGGTCCCTTGCTTGTATAACCCTTATCTTCGGGACTGGGTAGTTAGCCGTTAACCTAATTGGCTACACAGAATCCTAACTCTGAACCCTAACCCCTTCTGGTATTTGTGTGCTGTCATCTTCGATGTTTGTGGTTACTGGACTTTGAGGGTGAAAGGGGAGGGGGACTTGAGTGCGAGTCAACCAGACGACGGGTCAAAGTAGCCTGTAGTATCACGACAGGCCTTGTGGACCTACCAACCGATGCCTTGCCGGCCTTGTGCGAGTGTGAGTCGAAACCCTAAACCCCAAACCCCTCAAGCAGCCCCTGAGTTTTTTCCCCTACACATAAGAAGGGCACATACATCGGAGCCCTGTGAGGGAACATACTTAGGGCCTATGGATCCGACCTTAGATATAGGGTTTAAGGAGATCTCAGGGTGATAAAAGTCCATAGGACTCAAGTTTAGGGTCTGAGGGTTTGGGTTTCGGGTTGGGAAGGTGAAGATAGGCGGGCGTCTGGCAGTCAGAAAGTCCAGCTTCAAAAGGGTTTTGGGGGCATGGTCCCTAATTCTGGTCCCTTACCTCCTTGAAAGGGTTCGGAAGTATGGGTTCATGTTGCGCAGGGTATGTAAGGGGTACCCAAGTAAGGGGCCCTTACTAAGGGACCATGTATCTACCCTTAGATGGAGAACTCCAGCCCTAACCCCGAAGCCCGGACGGCCGAAGCCCTAAAACACATAGGCTCGTCTTCGCTGATGCCGCTGCAGAGGTGGGTTTCTGCTGCAAGGGAAGATCGGGCGTTCAGGGCTTAGGGTTTAGGGTTTAGGGTTTAGGGTTTAGGGTTTAGGGTTTAGGGTTTAGGGTTTAGGGTTTAGGGTTTAGGTTTTTTTTTCATCAGCAGGTCTACAGGAATTTGATCTACTATCCTGCCCAATATGCACCTTACGGAATACGCTGATGAGCGTAATCTTGTTCATGCACAAATTGGTGCATGTCCGCGTCTTTGTACATCATGTATAAAGTCAAATGCTGTACAGTGGCTTTCTGGGAGAAACTTTGAGAAAGATCCAATGATGAAGGATCAGGACACGCGCAAGTGCTTCACACATCACTTGTTCATCCATTGTGTATATAGTGATTGAGGCATAAAGGCCTGACAGCGTCTTATAGCACAGCTATTCATGACATAGTGCTTACTCTGACTATACCTTAACCGCCCTAACCCTAGAATCAAACACATGAATGGTGAGGTCTTCTTCCAATAGGTTTGGGCCTCTAGAGGTTACGGCAAGTATACCTAAGCCCTTAGAGACGCCGGGCCCTAAACCCTAAACCCTCCATATCTGAAGGCCGAGTTTACCCACCAGGGTCTCGGCTTGCTGGATGCTGCGAATCTGGGCTCAACAGACTTCTTGGGCTGTTTCGGGCTTTTAGGGTTTAGGGATTTGGGTTTTTTGGGTATTAAACTTGGGGTTTCGGGCTTAGGGTTTAGGACTTCTTGAGCTTTAGGGCTTTTAGGGTTTGCTTAATCGGGATTAGTGTGAGTTGGGTAGGTTCTGTTACTGCTCTTCCCTTGTGCAAGCCCCTAGGCCCGTGAGCCGAACCCCTGAATAGTGCCTACTTGGGACCCACAGTCCAAAGCCATGATACGCAAGGTGCTTTCAAGCCCAAGGATTTAGGGTTTCGGGTTTAGGGTTTGGGGTTTTGACCTTGCGCCCTAAACCTTACACCCTCAGGGTTAGGCCCCATACCCCCTTGTGGCTACGGTACCCTCAACTCCCCTCCCCCTCCCTCCCCGAGGTATTTCAAAGCCGTTAAGATGGGCTTGCAGACTGCCGGACGCCGGGGGGAGGGAGTTTTCTTGCCGACTCAACACGAAGCTCTTGGGTTGAGGGATTTAGGGTTTGAACGTTCAGCGTGTTTAGGGTTTGGGGAACCCTAAACCCCACACCCTAAACCCTAAACCCTAAACCTTAAACCTAAACCGTAAACCCTAAACCCTAAACCCGAAACCCTAACCCCACGGCCTTTGGGCTGTGATCTGCGGGCTTCTTTCCTTTGCAACACGTCCAACCCTTCTAAACTCTATATGCCCTCCGAAACCTTAAACCCTGCTTGTATCCCTACTACCAACAACCAGGTCCCCCCCTCCCAGTTCCCTAAAGCCCTCATAGGATTTAGGGTCGGAGCCCGACTTGTCAACATCCCTAAACCCTAAACCCTAAACCCTAAACCCTAAACCTAAACCCTAAACCCTAAACCCTAAACCCTAAACCCTAAACCCTAAACCCTAAACCCTAAACCCTAAACCCTAAACCCTAGCGCATTCCTTCAAGTCGCTGAGAGGAAGCGCCATGTACCTCGGCGGCCGCTACGGGAGCGTCAAGCAGGGCGGACTGCTTGGCATCCTGTCGCTTGGATTGCATTGCTTGCTCGCTATACTGGGAGGTCCTAAACCCTAAACCCTAAACCGTAAAACGCTAAACCCTAAACCCTAAACCCTAAACCCTAAACCCTAAACCCTAAACCCTAAACCCTAAACCCTAAACCCTAAACCCTAAACCCTAAACAGACAGTGCTCGGGCCATCCTTCAGGAGCAACACTATAGAGTATGGGTCTGGAGTCTCTTTGTCACGAATACCGGGGGGGGGGGGGGGGGGGGGGGGGGCTTGGGGAAGCCTCCTCGACAAGGGCTATAAGCATCCCTATGGCGAATGATGTGTATATATATATATATACAGCCAGGGATACGCAATACAAATTCTGATGTGTGCGACTGTAGTGGCTACCTCAACAATAACGTTGGAGCGGCAGTGTTGCCGGTGCAGGGTTCAGTGTTTAGGGTAGGTGTTTTTGGCTTACTTGGGCTGAAGGCATGAGCTGCTGAGTGATTGGAAGGCCGCTGTAGACTGCACTAAACCCTAAACCCTAAACCCGAACCCTAGACCCTAAACACAAACCCTAAACCCCAAACAAACCCTAAACCGGAAGGCTCGTTTGGAAATTGCAGAGTTCGAGGCACTTAGGTTGCCCATCTGCAAGAGGGCATCCACCGCTTTTTCGAGTATTTCAGGCTTAGACCTTTGTCCGCTGTCTCAGAGGGGCTTGAGGGTTTAGGGCCCTCCCGCCCGAAACCCTAAACCCTAAACCCTCAACCCTAAACCCTAAACCCTAAACCCTAAACCCTAAATCCTAAACCCTAAACCCTATAAGCCCTAAGCCCGCGTGTAGCACTGAGGCTTGCCAACCCCGCCGACTCTGCCGTTGGCCTCGGCGGCTGCACCGCCGTTGGCCCATTCTGGGAGGCGTCACGTGGCCGCTGGCTGGAGTCGATTTAGGGTTTAGGGTTTAGGGTGTAGGGTGTAGGGTTTAGGGTTTAGGGTTTAGGATGTGTCTAGGGTTAACCCAAGTTGAAAATGGAAGAAACAACAAAATAAAGAAAAACAAAAACATATCACAAATGCAATTGCAATCAAATTCACGAACACCATCACAAATTCATTTGCCGAACACAAATTTAGTTAGATATAAAACCATAAATATACTAAGGTTTAGGGTTTAGGGTTAAACATTTAGGTTTAAGGGGGGGCGGGGGGGGGGGGGGGGGGGGCTACTACTCTACAGGGTTTAGGGTTTAGGGTTTAGGGTTTAGGGCCTTTTAGGGTTTAGGGTTCAGTGGGGGGGCGGGGGAGCGGGCTACCCTACAGGGTTAGGGTTTAGGGTTTAGCGTTGAGGGTTTAGGGTTTAGGGGGGTGTACGCTACAGGATTTAGGGTTTAGGATTTGGGGTCTAGGGTTTAGGGTTTGGTGTTTAGGGTTTGGAATACTTCTGCCACCTTCTCGGTCAGGAAGGAAATGGACGGTCGCCTTGCTGTTGAGTTTCCGAGCTTTCTGTGAGTCCTTTGCTACTGAGCTCTGCAAGTCCAAAAAAGAGTTTAGGTTAAAAGGGGGCTCATGTTCAGGGCACAGCACATTTCCGCCGGTGAGAATACATGTAGTCTACATTTTCTCAAGCCCCGAGGTCTTCGAATCCTGCGTTCAGCAAGGCAAGTGTCAAGTGTCGACCCTAAACCCTAGAACCCTAGAACCCTAGAACCCTAGAACCCTATAACCCTATAACCCTAAACCCTAAACTAGGGTTTTGGCCTTCCCTCACTAACGTGATTTCTGTTTGCAGGTGTTCGAGGCGGATGCTAGCCCGCGTGCCAGTGTCATCCAACGCATTTCGGACCCCACGTCGCAGGAGAAGGACGTGGGGTTTAGGGTTTAGGGTTTAGGGTTCAGGGTCTAGGGTTTAGGGTTTAGGTCTTACTGCTTGTTCACTCTACCATACTTCACCAGTGCTGGCTCCCAACTCCAATATCCCTTCTTCGTAGGGGGTATTCCTGGAATTGCCTCAAGTAAGGGAAATCGGGGCGTGTGGGCTTGGAGGATAGACTTTAGAGCGGCTGATGCTCAGGATTCGTGTTACCCCGTACAAAGTCCTGGTAGTTGCCGAGGTGCGGATAGTCTGAAGCTCGACCCTCGACACCCCATTGCAAACGAGAAGTGCCGATTTATGGCGACGGGTATTTGGGGTACGTTACAGGATGCATACATCAGGTGGAAGCTCCGGCGATACATAAATCGTTCCTCTGACCCTAACCCCCTTCAAGCCCTACAACCCTACAAGGCACCGCAGTCCCTACGTAACTAAACCCGAAACCCTAAACCCTAAACCATCCTAAACCTTTTTGCACTAGCCGCCAGGACACTGATGGCCGACGGCTTTCCATGACCACGGCCGAGGCTATCTCCAAGTGCCTCGGTCTTCGTTCTGAAGCTGAAATACATCACAGGGGCTTTAGAGTTCAGGGTTTAGGGTTTAGGGTTTGGGGTTCAGGGTTTAGGGTTTAGGGTTTAGGGTTTAGGGTTTCTGTCATGATTGTTAAACATGTCGGCTTCTAGTCGATTCGTGGGGACGGGTCTACTGTGTAAACTTTATAAACCCTAAACCCTTGTGGGTCGCTCGGGGCCGGGTTTCTGAGGTTGAAGGCTGCCAAGATCGGCCAAGGTCGACGGGTTTAGGGTTTAGGGTTTAGGGTTTAGGGTTTAGGGTTTAGGGTTTAGGGTTTAGGGTTTAGGGTTTAGGGCACGGTCGATGGGTTACCCTAAGCCCTACTTAAGCCCTAAGCTTGCAAGGGCCTTAGTCCTCGGCCTAAACCGGAGACCCGAAACCCTAAACCCGAAGCCCCTTCCGCCTGCAGCTCCTGAACGAGAAGCCCGTGCCTGAGTTCTCAGAGGCCCGCGAGGGCCGGTCGACGGCGATGGCCCAGCTGAGGATACCAACTGCCTGGGCGTGGAAGGTTGCGCGTGCCGAGGCCGCCTTCTCGTCAAAGCTGAAGTGGAGGTCGGTGACCTTCTGGTTCCGGATTTTGGAGTCCGACTCGGAAGAGGCCACCGTCACCGTCGCCCCTGCAGAAGTCGGTGTAGCGACGACGAAGCGGTCGTCGCGCACCAGGAAGCCAGGCTGCGCTGGCTTAGCGCCCCAGCGCTCACGCCAACCCTAAACCCTAAACCCTAAACCCCAAACCCAGGAGGCTCGGCTGCAGCAGCCGCCTGGCGCACGGGGTGGTAGGGCTAGGGCTAGGGGTGGTAAGGGTGAAACGGGGCTGGCAACCTACTCCCGAAACAAAAAGCTTTTCTTGCCCAAGTATACCACACCCCCGAGGCATGCAGTTCCCATACTGGATAGAAACAGTTACTAAGCAACGTTCCCCAGGTCTGGACTAACCGTTCCGCTAGGGTTCAGAGGACACATCTCCTAGGACCCAACTTCAAGTACGTAGAAGTCGCCCAAATCTTGCGGAGATGCCCCGAGCTGCCGCCCAAGCGCGACAGAGCAGACATCGCGCAAGGCAGAAGAAAAAAAACGAAACCCGCGAAAAGCGATCTCGAGCAGGCAGCCGAGGCTCACGGAGAGAACGAGATCTATACATCATAAACCATGATCAACTAGCACAATAAACAAAGAAGGAACCTGTTGTTCTAATAAGCCCTAAACCCTAAACCCTGAACCCTGAACCCCAAACCCTAAACCCTAAACCCTAAACCCTAAGCCCTAAACCCTAAACCCGGAACCCTGAACCCCAAACCCTAAACCCTGAACTCTAAAGCAAGCACTTCGTTATGCCAGCCGAGGCTCACGGAGCAGAACGAGATCCACTCCCCGGCACACCTTTGGGCTGCTCGGATGATCGGGCTTAGGGTTTAGGGTTTAGGGTTTAGGGTTTAGGGTTGTTTACATGTAATCGTATGGTGTCTGCTGGAATCTGGAAGCCCTAAGCCCGAAGCCCTCCCAATGAACCCTGTAAATCCTATAAACCCTGTAACACCAGATAAACCCGAAACCCTACTGCTCAAGTCTATAGGGACCTCCGCCCCCACCCTAAACCCTAAGCCCTAAACCCTAAACCCCTAAACCCCTTGTCAAGTCCATCGGGTTCGCGGTCCACACCCCAACCCTAAACCCTAAACCCTAAACCCCAATCCCCAAACCCCAAACCCCAATCCCTAAACCCCAAACCCTAAACCCTAAACCCCAAACCCTAAACCCCATGATCCTGGGCGCGCTAAGGTTGGCATCCCTCGGGGGGACGCGCAGCGAACCCGGGCGCAGTCGTCAGACTGCGGCGAGTGGGCCATGCACCTCTGGGTTCAGGCTTTAGGGTTTTTTGGGGGTTTGCGGTTTAGGGTTCTGGGGTTCTAGGTTCTAGGGTTCTAGGGTTCTAGGGTTCTAGGGTTCTATAGGGTTCTAGGGCTCTAGGGATTCTAGGGTTCTAGGATTCTAGGGTTCTAGGGTTGAGGGCTTAGGGCTTTGCACCCACATCTCTGACAGATTGCTGAACCTCCGGCGACGAACGAAGAACGAAAGGGAACACTCGTGATTCCCTCCCCTCCCAAGGGTTTAGGGTTTTAGGATTTGAGGGTTTTAGGGTTTGGGGTTTAGGGTTTCAGGGTTTCAGGGTTTTAGGGTTTTAGGGTTGTAGGGTTGTAGGGTTTACATTTTACATATATATATATATATTATCGTTTTTATTATATATACATATGTGTATATATATAAGGGTGTAGTGTAAGTTCATTCAGCCTGCAGGCGTTCAACTAGGGCCTTACAGGGTTTAGGCTTCACCCGTGTGGACGACATGACCCCTATCAGGGTCTCTTCTTCATATTGCCTGACAGACGAACGGGATGTGTGGGGTCTCATTTAGTCACCAAGGATCAGAAACTCTTGGGCTTTACTTGAAAGTGTTGAAGCATATTCTTAAACCCTAAGAGAGTTAAGCTCAAACTCCAAGATCCCGATATCCCTTCATTGTGGAACATTCCTTTAGGTCATGTAAGGGGCCCCCTCTTACAATTTCAAAGGAATATGGGACCCAGGCCCTCTAGCTCAAACTCCAAGTCCTGAACCCTCAACCCTCTTTAGGGTTTAGGGTTGAGAGCTTAGGGCTTAGGGTTTAGGGTTTAATTCAGGTGCAGGGTTTAGGGTTTAGGGTTTAGGGCCTTCCCCCCTCAACAGCAAAACCTTCGAAAAGCCGGAGTGTCGTACGACCTTTCAAGCCACATCTGGCGTAAGCCCTGCCGAGGGAAGTCCGAAGCCACCAGCTCGCAGGGTTCCCTACCTTCTCTTCACGAGCATTTCAAGAAGAAGCCTGGGGAGTTCTGGCTTTTGCAGTTTCTTGGGTACTTAACCCCTCAAGCCACAACGGAACCACGACAACACTCCATACTGCAGAGCAAGCCGTATACACTCCAACCAGCGCCATAAGCCCCTGGACCCTGAACCCTACATACCTTCAGCCCTACACCGCCTACACCCATAAACCCTAAAGCCCAAAACCCTACACCCTAAACCCCATAACCCCCAAAACCCCTAAACCCTAAAGCCCAAAACCCTACACCCTAAACCCCTAAACCCTAAACCCTGAGCCCTATACACGCGAAAGAGGTACAAGGCCAAGCAGGTCCTCGCCACCGGAAGCCTCCTCTTGGAAGGCGGCCAACCCTATATCGACTTTCAGTGGGTTTGAGGTTTAGGGGTTAGGGTTTAGGGTCTAGGGTCTAGGGTTTAGGGTTTAGGGTTTAGGGTTTAGGGGCATATTCGGATGATAAGCCTATTTCATCTGAATGGTGTGTGGGGCAGAGAGCGGTAACAGATACCTGCAGGGCCAGATGCCCGATGGGATTTCCCAAAATAGGAGTGCCCCTTTTGCCAGGCGAAAACCATGCTTTACCATCGGTTGGTGGTCTCCTTAAGTAGGGTTTCTGTTTTGTAGGGGGGGGGGGGTTCTTACTAGGGTATCTAGGGGCTATATTAATGTATAAGGGTAACAGATGAAGAGGCCACCCGGTGTTTATAAACCATACCCCTTATCGCAGAATCCCTCCACCCAAAAAGGAATACTTTTTTTTGTCTTCGGAAAGCCCAAATTGGAAATGAAGGGGTACTTTTAGGGCACCAAATTCATGAACCCTAACCGGGTTCATGGTTCATGTACTTTAACAGGGGGTATAGCAGTATAGGGTCTATGATGATGAAATTCGGCTTCATGTGGTCCGCAAGTAGTTGGGTAAAACTCCAAAGAGCAAGCCTGAGCCCGAAAGCCCCAAGAAGTTATAAATCTTACAGGCCCTGAACCCAAACAGCTCGAAACCTTAAACGTCCTAAGCCCCATAAAGTCCTACATCTCACCTAAACCCTAAACCCTGTCCCATCGGAGTGGAGTGTCAGCTAGGCAGGTAAGCCCTAAAGCCCAAACCTAAGCCACTTAAGCCCCAAAGCCAAAATACCCCAAACCCCAAACCCTAAACCCTAAACCCTAAACCCTAAACCCTAAACCCCCCAACTCAACGCCACGTGGGGAGGCGAGGGCCCAGGCGCCGAGGGAGTCGCCTGCCTCGGCCGGCTGGGACTGCAACCCATCCTCCGAGCCTGGGCCCCCGGCGCAGTTGAAAGGGTTTAGGGTTTAGGGTTTAGGGTTTAGGGTTTAGGGTTTGCGGTTTGGGGTTTGGGGTTTGGGGTTTGGGGTTTAGGGTTTGCGGTTTGGGGTTTGGGGTTTGGGGTTTAGGGTTTAGGCCGAGGGTTGATACGGGGCTTATGGGCTTACTTGAAATTGGTACGTAGGGTTAGTAAGGTGGGGCATGGGGATTAGAATAGGGTTTCTAGGGGGTACCTGAGTAGACGTTCTAAGTCAAAGGAGTTTCCAAGCAAGAGCTCAAAACCTAGGGTTGTGTAGGTTACCGAAGAAGAAGATTTAGGGGTTTGGGGGTGTTGGATTCCCAAGGCGAACAAAAAGGAGGAGTTCAGGGTTTCTAGGGCTCAGGCATGAGGCTTCTTACGGAACAGCAAGTACTGTAGCCCAAACCCTACACCCTAAACCCAAGCTGGAAACGGTCTAAACCCTAAGTCCAGTGGCAACTTCCCCCAGACTGCAAGGCAGAAATGAAGAATATGTTTTGGTGATTTCTCTACATTATCGGGTTGCTATTTTAATTCTATACAGGGTCTAGGGTTTAGGGTTTGAGGTTAACTAGGCCCGAGGCTCTTCAAAAGGACACCCACGTGCATTTTGGGAATAGTTCGTATGTCTGACATATGGTGCTTGCTGAAAGACCACAAGGGGGTAGTATAGGTCATGATTTGAGCTCTTGCCGTATGTGGTGAACGAAACGAAAGGAAAGACTGGGCCATGCGCCCCAAGCGGCCCAAGCTTGTTCTGGCAGTCACTGCAGAACCTGCCTCGTCGATTCAGGGGTGAGACAGTGGTCAGAAAACTGCTTTGCTGTGGCATCATTGTGTCACCATAGGGCGGAAACAAGATGCCTAAACCCGAAACCCGAAACCCGAAACCCTGAACTGAACACCATGCGACCCCATCAACCTCAGGCGCAGTTCTTCCGATCCTGCGTGGATCAGGGTATGTCGTGGCCTCAGGAAAATTTGAGAGCCACCCTCTCCTTTGTTGAGTTTAGGGCTCAGGGTTTAGGATTTTGAGTTTAGGGTTTAGGGTTTAGGGTTTGGGTTTTGGATTTTGAGTTTAGGGCTGGTTGCCGGGCGGATTGCCACAGGGCCCGTTGCAACAAGGGTTCAGTTTTCTCGATCCGTTTCAGGTTCCAGGTTTATCCTACTGGCTCTTAGTAGGGAATGAGAGAATTACTTACAAGCTTTCCCTCATTCCCAACTAAGGCAGGATAGGTTTGAGGGTTATGGTTTCCTAAGGGAGCCAGCTGAATCTGAAGCAGGGTTTACATTACTGTTATTGGTGGGTATTAGAGTTCCGAATTCTTTTCGGTGAGTGTATATATGCAAAGGTGTGTCCTTTTGGGGCCACAAGTTAGATAAACCCTGTTTCGTATGAGGCAGGGGTTGTTGGGCGAGAGAGTTCAAAGGTAAGCCGATGCACAAGAAAGGCTCTTATTGGGCGGCTGGGCTTTTGACTTTTGTACACTGAACACTTCTTGGGATATTATAATCCCCTCTCGAACTGAAAGTGTACACTTTTTGGAGGCTTATGAACTCAGAAACTAAGTGGCTACTGTTTCTGAGCAGGCTCGGACGCCAGATGGCTGATGCCGCGATTTGTTCCCAAAATCTGCAGCATGGATTGGCGGGGTTTAGTGTTCGGGTAGGTTGCTGGACCCTAGACACTAAACCCCAAACCCCAAACCCCATAAACCCTAACCCCTCAAGTTCCTGGAAGATGAGCTGGCAACCGACGGGTGCACAC